AGAATAGATTAAAGTTATCATTCGATTTGATATAGAATTCAACATATGGTCGACTTTAGCATCGGATTTTCCAAATTACTCTACTTTTGCCTAACCTTTCACTCAGTTCAGAACTTCTATTAGAACGATGTCGTCGCAGAAAAAGGTTATTAAAAAAATTCATTTTATTGAGTCGTTTTCACTTGAAAAAAATGTAATCCAAACAAACAAAAATCCAGATATTGGTCAAGTTTGAATATTTGTCTTTTTACACTTGGTTATCGTTCAATTTAGAATCTATTTCCAATAAAACACCAATTGACCGATTTTAGATTCGATGTTACAGTAAAAGTAGTCTATATCAATTACAAACAAGTATTCCGGTCGGTATGAGCAGAGAGAATGGAACTTGAAAAGCATAAAACTTGATTTTATTATTATATACTAGAAGTTGAAGTGAAATATTGTGAATAATTTCTAAGGATTGTGGAAAGGATGACAAGTAAGTGATGTTTGTCTTCAATTCTCAGTTCTAATTTAATAACTAAGCCTGAATGTTTATTCGCAATTAGAAGAAATTGGCGATAAGATGTTTGCACTATAAATTATCAACCAGACCGAGTATATGTCCAAAAATGATTATTTTTTATTCTTTCTTATAGAAAACCAAATTAAATTAACACATCTGTGAATGTTACATTTGCACACATTGAAAGTCATTATATTGTCATTACACACATTGCCACAATCATTATGTTTACGTCTATAGACCATAAGTGATCCACGGATTGATCAATGCAACGAGAAGCAAAATCAAACATAAGGAAATGGATCCACTTACAGTAAAATACTCTTTTTATATTTCTCGGAATTATGTGAATAAATTGTTTATTATTTATTTCCTTTTTTTACATTGATATAAATTTTATAAACATTTTTCCAGAATGTTCATAGCATTTGTTTAAAAATTTCGAAATATGATTTAATGCCAAGTGAAGCATACATGGCAAACAAGTAGATATCCACTGGCTACAACTAAACTGCCAATCATCGCAGGGAATGCAACTCTATAAAAAATAGAAAAATCAGACAAAATTTCTTTAAATCGATTGATTCTGAGGCGACATACTTGAAAAATTGAATAAACGTAAAACGATAGCCGTGCTGCTCAGCAACGCCGGCACATATAATATTAGCTGAAGCTCCAATTAGAGTGCCATTTCCTAAAAGAAAACAAAGGGAAATAAATATATGATGAAATTTAATTTGAGTGTGAGCAAAAAAAAATCAGGGTTTTTTTTATACCGCCTAAACATGCTCCAAAGGACAATGCCCAAATAAGCGGTTGCAAGGGTAAATTTAAGGCTGCTTTCTCTGATAACGAAATGGTGACTCTAATCATCATTGTGGTGAGTGGTATATTATCCACGAATGCCGATGCAATGGCTGAAACCCATAAAACAATAAGAATGGCAACGGCCAAACGAAACTCTTTGCTGACCATGAGAATAACGTTCTCCGTTTGTGCGCCGATCCATTCGATAAGACTGAGCTTTGCTAAACACTCCATCAAAATAAAGAGGACAGCGAAAAATAATAATGTTGACCATTCAACTCGATCTAAAATCGACTCGATGTCACGCCTATCCGCTAAAATCAGCAATAAAATAGCTCCGAGTAAAGCAGTCCAACCCAACGACAGTCGTTCAATGTATGGCAACGAGTGGAAGAAGAAACAGCACAGAACAAATGTCAAAGCCACCGAAGATTTGATAAGCAAAGCACGATTTCGAATGGGATACTAAAGGTAAAAGAGGAAAAAATGAACAAGTCGAAGTTGAACAATAACGGTCACACACACACCTTTTTCTGTAAATCGTCCAGCGTTCGTTTATAGGTTGCCGTGGAGATAGATCCACATGTAATTTTCCGTTTAAGCTCCAGCTGAAGTCTGTTGATTTTCCTCAAGAGAATTTCACGCACCAAATCTTCATCTTTTGAACTAGATGAAAGAGACTCGGCGGCTCGTTCCCATAGGACGATATCATTTCGAAGCTCTGTAATATCTTCTGGCTCAGAAACACGTAAATCATTGATGGTGCGGTATACAAAACGTAGATGGAAATAGGTTTGTATCATCACAAACACAGCGCCAATTAACATATGGATGGTGAAGTTTAAGAAATTGATGCCCTACAAAAGGTACGTGTGTACAATATTTTAAAAAATCGGAAAAAATTCTTTTCATTCTTACGCTTCTAATAACGTGTGAGTTGGAAGCAATGATTATGTTTGGTGGATCGCCCACGGGAGTTACCGCACCGCCTACATGAAAAAAATAGTGTGAAAACAATGAAATCGTTTGAAAATAAGCATGTCCCATCCCTACCAATATTTGAATAAATGATCATAGACATTAGAATCGGCACCGGATTCAATTTCATTATTTCACACAGACGAATAGAGACTGGAGCCATCAGTAGAAGTGTCGTCACATTATCCAAAATTGCAGACAGAAATGCCGTAAACAAACACAAGCAGTATATGAGAGGCCAAGGTTCACCTTTTGTAATCTATTCCAACGAAAATTGTAAGTTGAGCAAAATTGATGGAAAAGTCAAGTTTTTATTTTGAACATTCGATATAAATGAATGGGGATTGTAAAATCTTGGGTCGAATGAAACCTTAAATGCGTAAACTGCCAAATAGTCAAAGAGACCAGTCTCTGACAAGATACCAACTAAAATCATCATGCCAAAGAGTAAAAGTAGTGTTTCCACATCGATCCAAGACAAAATCTCCGGCATTGTGGGTCGTTCATTCATCAATGCCAAAATGGCAATCGACATAGTGGATGCAACCATCGCTGCGAATGTTCGATCAATAATTTCCCAAATGATCAAAACGTACAAGCTGATCAATATAATTGCCGCGTAAATAATTCCCATCGATTTGTCCATCGGTGTTGGATCGAAAGCCACATTGATCGGAAACCCATTCGGCAAATTGGTGGCAATTTCAAGCGATAAAACTGTATCATTCCATCCGATTTGTTCAAACATTTCCGCATCCAAGTGGAATATGTGCGACTTTGTCACTTCTGTTGCTCTGTCGGTGTCGTTTATATTTTCAACAATCGGTATGGTGATTGTTTTGTCGTGGAACACAACAAACGAAGAGTTCGAATGGTCAGATCCATCTTCCAAATGTTCATGCACCAACTGAACTTGAATATAAAGGAAACTAGTGGAATTGCTGTTCTCATCGGCAAACGCACCAGACACTATGACACCGAATCGAGGCTCAACTGGCACTTCATCTACAATGCAACCTAATGAATCCTGAGAAAAAGAACTTTGGTTAGATATATCAAACAAAACACAATTCCACTCACTTTTGTTTTGGCCGATTGGAATTGAAATTTGATGATATTTCAACACTTTTTCATCCTTCGACATCAGAATGCCTGTGAATAAGATCCAAACACCTACCAGCAGTGCGATTTTTATCATATTCAATACATTATGCTTATGATTTTGAACTGAAGGTATTTTCCCATTGTCCCTGTAAGTAAGAGATGAGGATTATTTCTAGTTTCTAATTGGAATTAAATGTCTGTCCAAGGAATGATGTTCACATAGATTGCCACAAAAAATAATGTAGTTTTATATAATAAAAGTCGTCTCACCCATTTTGTAGTAGATCAATTCCGTCTTCACAACTATTCTGCAAATTAATTGTAGTGGATCCATCGTCCGGAGCCATGTT